GGATAATGAATGGAACATTCCGTGGTTATCATTTTGCAACACTAAAGGTGGTCTGTTTTTTTACCGTTGTGATAATCCATCAACCACATTCCTTTGCGCAGCCCGACCATACCAATCATAAATGTGAGTAGGACCTCACAACATTAGGGTTCGTGTTTGTTGTATAATGGCATCCTTCCTCTAATGTATATTCAGTTGACCCTGATTCACATTATAAAGTTTTTGCTTTTTCTGTCATTTGAATTTGTCACATTTGCAAAGAGCAATATTTTCGTCCTTCTTCCGTTCCCTCTTTTCAGGCTGGTCAACGCCAACTTGTCTGCCTGGCTCGGGTGTGTCTGTCCTCGGGGGGCCGTGTACGTCTCCTCATTCTCGATGAGGCGACAGCAGCCATGGATCCAGTAACGGATAGTTTGGTGATGCAAACAGTTGTCGGAGACTTGTTCCGAGATGCAACTGTCATCATTATAGCACATCGGTTGGACACTGTCCTCGACACAGACCTGTAAGCGGCATCTTGAATCGTGTAGTTACTTGGTTTCTATTTTCGTATCCAAGTCAAGTAGTCGCTTTATGCACTCCGATAGGTGAATATCCAGCTCAGAAGTGAAAACATTTTTTTTAGTTTGTCTCAGCAGTTTTCTATAAAATTTCATTTTTTTATTGAAAATGAATGAGTGGAATAGATTCTTAGAAAGATAGATGCGACTTGTTCACATGTTGCTTTGGCATTTCAGAGACATGTTGAAGGGAGCTGTTTACATAACCAGTGACTCTGCCTCTGAGGGGCGTAAGTTGTAAGCTGCACCTGTTGAAGGCTATGACCGCTTGAAAAGTGGCACCTGGTGATATGCAGCGGTCAGCTTCATAAAAGCGATTCCCTACCAAACTTGTAAATGGTGCCCGCAAAACGAAGAGGCATCTCCGAGGGGATTGCTATTGTAACTACAGAAGAAACAAACAGATCGTTGAGTTGACGATCACCGACAAGGATACCTTCACGAAAATACCAACCAACTGTTGCAGATTGGCTTTTTCGTTCAGTTTGATCTTATTTAACCCATGCTGCCTTCGAATATACCTCTCGTCGATCAGAGGCACTAGACTTGTGGAATTAAGACTCTAGTATGGCATCATAACTCTAATATATATGGATACTAAAATGATGTGCTAGGCTGCTTCCCAACTTGCCACTTAAAATAGATCGATTATGACCGTAATGTATGCATCCTCATTTCTGCGGGTTCGAGTTTCGCATGAGACAGCCTAGTCAACAGTTCTCGTGTGATTTTCCACACTCAGTCTACTTCGAAAACAAGATCCTGTTTGATCATTAGAATAATCAACAGTTGTTGGCTGTCCTGCATCACCACATTTTAATTATTGCTGTGTCATACTTGACTTGATCTTTTTTTCATCATCAAGATGATTCACATTATCGATAACGTTTTCCTCTGTCTAATACACATATATATTCCAGAATTTGCCCATAATGACATGAGAACACACTCAGAGGCGAACAATCGTTTTCATCGATTCATCTTCCAGCCTGCGTAGATCATATGAAGAAGTGATATGGTAAAAGGAGACACATTCAGTGGCTCAAAGACCACAGTGATTGATTGGGCGGGAGAGGGGTATGGCGTGAGTGGTGCGACGTGTTTCACACCACTAGATCATCACAACACTTCCATCTGGGTGTGAGGCGTCATCCGTGCGACCAATATATATGGAATAAACAGAGGTGCAAAAAATAATGTTCCGTACTCGGGTTGTTCTGTTAGCGTCACGATGGATTGCATAATCTCTTCTCATGGTGCAATTTTTTATAATATGCCATTATTTGAGAAGGAGCAGAAGGACTAAATCCTATGGCCACGAGAACTTGCTGCCCAGTCATGGTTATTTTTACAAGCTGAGCCCTGGAACTTGGAGTGGCAAACCATATAACCTCTACCCACCCCCCTTCACCCCTAGAATAAACGTGTTTCCGAGAAGGATGATAACCTAGCCGCCTACTGTCAAGGTTGAGCGTTGATGACAGATTTTGAATCTCTGCCTTTGATATTATTCAAATAATTGATTAGAATTACTCTAGAGCACGTACTCAGTTTCATTGTTTTGTCGCTTCGCAAATTTTCCTATTTTCTATGCTTCATTCTTCTCACACTTAAGCTCACCATTTGTTTCATATTTCCATCACTTGTGCTTATTTTTTGAGGAGCCCGTGTGCGAGCTGTTGCGGTACTTTGATTTTAGGGCTAAGAATCGAACTGAATCCAGCAACACCAACTTAAAGGGCGATTCATGATGATTGCGTAGAATGCAGTATTTGAAAGATTTATTGAAATACTTCTATGAGCCTGAGTGGTTCTATGGCTGTTACTCACCATCAGATGAAAAAATCTATAGTTTTATACGTACAAGGCACTGAGGGATGAGGGAAGTTTTTTATTTGAAGAACGGCATCGGATAGAGGTAAATAAGGTTACATAGAACGAAACATCTCATTTGCAACAACTGTTTGGCATTTTCGTGATCGTCTCTTCATCGCCGACCGCCAGCCTGATCGTCTGCGCCTTTTATACTTGTGAAAGTAAATCCTTGTATCCACTCGCGGATTCCGTGGGACTCCAATAACCGCTTCTTGGTGCACGCAAAATGCTCACAAATGTGATTAGTTGCTCGCAACACTAGTATTATTGCATCAAGTCATTCTCATTCAAATAACGGAGATAGTAATGAAGTAATTACTCCTATCTATAACAAAGTTGCATAGAAAATGAGAGGGAGGGCAACCCTGACGAACACCATTTTCGGTGGTGAACTCCGGCGAAAAAGAGCCGTAAGCTCGGCTCCGGCTATAAAGGGAGTGTAATATTGAAACAAATGTATCGGGCGCATCCTTCAGAGTTTGGAGCGACCGACTGGGTCGAAGACCACTTTCGGATCGACNCAATGCTCCAGGATTTGGCGAAGAGTGAAAATATGGTTGACGCAACCTGCACCAGGTTTAAAACCAGCCTGATTCTCACGCGTGCACTATATGTGTGCTGCAGACAATCGACGGAGTATGCTCCAAGTGGGAAGTTTGAGGCAGTGTTGATTAAACTAATTTCCCCGTGGTTTTCACAACAGGATCCACCACCTTTCGGTAAGATGATCGATTCATACCTGTATTTATGTACATCAAACATAGGTTAATCATCACTTTAAGTTCTATGACTGCTCTTTTCTAATATTTATTTGTGAGCATTTCTATGGCAGGTAAATGTCTGATTTACGGTTACTTTCTGATTGCAGCGCCAGCTAACTATGGTCATATTTTACCATTATTTCTGATCATATTTATCTCCTCGCAACGTTTTGTGAAAACGTTTTGAGAACCTCTCAAATTTTCCACACTCTTTCTTACGCTTGATCGTATTCCCTGACATGCTTCAATTTCTTCGTGATAGAAACCTTTATTAAACTTATTGTTATTACCTTTTACATCAAAAGCGTTTGCTTTTTCTCCTAGGATCGTAGTCATGGATCAAGGTAGGGTGGTTGAAACGGGAAGACCGGATGTCTTGCTGGCTGACCCTCAATCACGGTTCTCCGCAATGTATCGTGCTGGGCATTGAACTTTTCCGTTTGATAAACTTCAATGTCATTAAACAAATACGTGTCTCCCTCTTCCTCGCAGCACGAATTTCGAACAAAACAAATTGACCTGATTTTTTTGTTTAACAGTTATTTTTCTGTTTTCTGTGTCACTATCTTTTTAACCCAGTCAGTTGACAGTCATCTTTAGTCTTGCTTTCGTTCGTTTGACCTGTTCTCCTTCGATATTTTCTTCCCGTGCCTTCCGTGATCTTACGCACTATTTTCGATGCAAGCTGTGATTAGCTCGCTAATGTGTTCAGGTTTTGTGAGTTTCTGTAATTTTTCATTGACTATTTTCTTCACAGAGGAAATCACCTCGGTAGATGTTATTATTGTTGCTCTTATAGAATTGATGATAACAAATCTTGTGATAACTTCTTTCTCGGGCTAATACAGTCATATATGGGGTTCAAAATTGTCAAACTAGTGCATGGTCTGTTGTGATGAATGTGATTGTTTGATTGTGATCGTGTGATATGTGGTTTGGGAATATTCAGTCAGTGGATTGAGCGAACTGTTCCAGTTCCATTCTGCGCCCCTGGGTCATGCCTGAGGTCACGGTCGTTTTGACCAGTTTTATCAGGTTGAGATCAAGGTAAGCGAAGTGACTGAATGCATCGCTTTTGAGAACAAAATAATGGATCAAGTAGACCAATGGTCACCGTCTCGGCTGTAGAAAGGTGCCGTTGACGAATTGCTCTGGATGGGTTTGCTGGTTCTTTGTAGATCACTGAATGCGCCATCGCTTACTTGATGTCCCGTGTCTGCAAGGTGTTCTCTCACTGCACTTGTAATCGTTTTCCTTATGCCCGCAATCAACCAGGCCGGTTTGTGCTCCTTGATTTTTTGCGACGATTGCCTGGTCGTTCTCCCTATATAGCTTGCCGATTATAAACAAAAAAGTGATAAATGATTATAGATGAGGAGTAAATAAATGACAGATCTTTGAGGTTGACTAACGCCATTTGTCGGCTTGTGAATTGAGTACGTAGCAGTGTATCAGGGGAAGTACGAGCGATAGCCTTTTCTCATCGGCATCTTAGTAACTCAGACTTATAATCTTGAAAAGGAATTCTTATGAATACTTCTTTTCTTTTACCGGTCGGCAATGGTGCTTTCGGAGACCGATCTGTCAGATTCTGCAGAACAAATCGTTCAAGATAACCGATGTCAAAGGGTGTTTATATTTTGCCGTTCGCGAGGTAGATAGTCTCCTGAACAAATTATCGATACGCAAGCGTTTGAAATAGGTTTCCCTGGCGTATCAGAGGCACAAACCCGGCAAAATTAGTGTACTGCCCAACCCACGTTTGTTTTGCGGCAAGCAAACCATTTTTTCAAGTTTTCGTAGCGTCTTATGAGTTTGGCATCTAGGGAAAGAAAATTTACTCCCAGTTCTAAGTAAAATGGAAATCTAATGGCGGTGTGGGCGTCATTGAAGGCATTGTGGCATCCACATAATGACGATAGCGTGGAACACTTCCCAATGTACCTTGTAAGATCACAGTTTCCAGTTTGCCAACAAATACATCGGTTACTAGGGGTCCAAGAGGTGATCTCATAGTAACACTGCCCGTTTGACAATAGATCTGTAGTGTGACGGATCGTACAGTGAAATCCGGACAATAGCAGACCTTCGTTGGACAGTATAATCTGATTGTATGTTCACATTTTATCTCAGTACAAACACGCAACGACGTTTGTTTTACACTATCGCTAATTAATGTATCCTACCACGCCAGAAATTTCACAT